TATTATTAATAATCGCTTGTACATTGTTTAATCTTATTGTATGTAAAGAAAGTTGTAACTTTATTAAGCCTGGTGATTTAAATTAAGATATTTCGGTATAATTCACGCACATAATTACATAATAAATATATATCTGGATCTGTTCGCATTCTCAACTTATTTTAAAAGTAATAGTAACTCATATTTGTGTGGGCACATTATAAAAGTAGAGAAAATTTTATTTTCATCAGGAGAGCTCGTCTCTTATGGAGGCTTTCTTAGAGCAGCTTCAAATTTTGCGATTGCAATTTGATGCCCTTAGTAGTGACGACCACGAGGACGCTTTAGGTAATAGATTTTTGCGCATTTTCGTATATAATATTGTTTTCGAAAAGTTTGATAGCAATCAATGCTGTACCTTCGAGAATGTGCAGGAGCCAAGGATCTTGCACACTGCAACTATTATTGCACGATATGCATCCACTCGTACTATCCCCAGTGATCAACTCTCCACTGGCCTGAAGATTTTTTACTGCAATGCATGATTGTGAAGCAGTTCGCGTAGTAACGTGATCCCATAAGCAATGCTTTTCATAGGAAACACCAAGCGCTCAGTTGGTTGCTGATGAACGTGGTTACCTGTACGTTTGAAAGCGCGAATGGGTTGCAAAACAGGATCAATTGTGGGATGCCTAAACTTTCTCCGATTGATGTTTTGTCGAGGAATTATCCCGGAAGGATGGGTGCTCACAACATTTGCGACTACGCGATGACCGAGTTTCAGATGAAGTCAGTGATCAGTGCCAGCGAGATCACGCGTGTTGTTACACACATAATCTCAAACTGAGGGCTAATTTATTTACAGCAAAGCATGTCCCAACAATTGAACATTTTACCTTTTTTCTTCTCAGTCTTGAATTCTGCCTTTACCCATAATCGACTAGGCGCAGACATTTATTTATTTCTTACGCTCAAAGACGTGCCACAGCCAGTAAGAAAAGTCGAAAACAGTACAGACATAAATAAGTTCAGGGGAGAAAAAAAAGATGCAGAAAAAAACAACATGGAAGGAAACAGAA